ACAAGAACTTAGAGCCTGACATGCTTTATCCCATATCCCAACACCTTTCATACCAGACACTCTCTCCCTCTCCCAAAACCTTTGGTCTTAGCATTACTACCATTCCAGAACCTCAAACCTATGCACAAGCCTGCAGTGATCCTAGATGGAACAAAGCTATGAATGAGGAATGGAATGCACTGGAGGAGAACAAAAGATGGAGGATTGTTGACTTACCAGAAGGTAAAGTTCATATAGGATCAAAGTGGGTTTATAAAACTAAGTTCAAGCCAGATGGAGATGTTGAAAGGTTAAAGGTCAGGGTAGTTGCAAACGGATATACCCAGGTTCATGGGATTGATTTTTGGGATACTTTTTCCCCAGTGGCCAAGCAGAATTCTGTGAAGCTTTTGATTGGTTTAGCAGCAGCCAAGCAATGGCACTTACACCAAATGGATGTAAGTAATACTTTCTTGAATGGTTTCCTAAATGAGGAAATTTATATGGAATTGCCCCCAGGACTTAATCAACTACCACAGTACAAAGGAAAAGTGTGTAAACTTGATAAATCCCTCTATGGGCTCAAACATGCCAGCAGACAGTGGTTTGTTAGGCTTACTGATGTCTTATTGAAACTTGACAAAACACTTGGAGGTCAACTTACATATTATTCGTGAAAGGTTGAAAGCTGGTTTGATCACCCTACAACATGTCTCTACTGAATATCATCTAGTCGGTATCTTTACCAAGGGTTTGTCTGCAGATCAGTTTCGTTTTCTATTGAGCAAAAGCTGTGTGTATTCGATCAATACACGCCAGCTTGAGGGGGCCTGTGAAGATTGTCATCAAAGTGGAACACCCCAGGTCAGCATCAGGTTCAATTCACAAGCAAAGCTTCATCTCCTTCCTACAGCTGACCAATACAAACAGGTTTGATCAATCCACAGCGTTTCTTTGATGATTTGAATTAAACGGCCAATTAACGGAAATGATACACATGTCCTGTCTCCATTCGTTCATCCGTAAAGTGTAATTAGTCGTTAGGCTGTACAGAGCATTAGGAGTAGAATATCATCTTTTCTTGTCGTTTATTCCTTGATTCAATTCTGTACAGACTATATATTCTACAGCTAAGGCTGAATGGAAAGGTAAGAAGCCATTTTCCAAAACCCTAGGCTTTCTCTTCTTCTTTCATAGAGAAGGGTTCCAAACATTCACAATCTCCGTTGTGGAATAAGTAGAAGAACGTCTGGTCTCAATGGTCCGAGTAAGTGTACTCCCGCCACCGTTGCTGGCCGCGACGCAGCGTCCTGGAACTGCGGACGCTATCCGCAAGGAGGATCATCCACTCTCTGGCTGTCGTTGGGGCCCAGATCGCCGCTACCATCGTGTCGTTGATTGTGGATTCAGGAAGTCGAACGAAGCTGGTCCGCCAGCGGAACCGGACGATTGGGACCGGCCAGCCGGTACTCCATCACGCTCTTGTCCGAGAGCGTCACCGTCGCGTCGGATTCCAACGGCTTCCGATGATTGTCTTCCGATTCGCCACGGCTGGTCTTTTGGGCTTTGATCCTCTGGCAGAGGGCTTTGCAGAAGTAGTACCCGACCCGCTGAATCGTGTTGCTGGTGTGGGAAGATAACCGGGTGGAGAGGTCGAGCACCTGGAGGGCAAGGTCGAATTTCCCCTTCCCGACATTCTCGGCGCACTCGACTCCATGAGCTCTAGGGGTGGCAGTTTGGTTACCGGTTACCGGTAACCGAACTTTGGTCGGTTATCGGAGGCTGGATGAAATGGTTTGTGGTCTTAAAAGTGGTTAGGTTAACCGATAACCGAGATAACCGAGAAACCGAAATCTATTTCGGTCGGTTTTTTATAGGAGGGGTGGTTATTTCGGTTAACCGATAACCAATCGATCGGTTACGGATTATAACCAAAATAACCGAACTGCCACCCATAATGAGCTCCACGTTATTGGATTCCTCTTGGGTGAGTCCAGTGAGGAGGTGGGGGACGTCGATTCCTCGCGCCGGTGACCTGGATTGTAAGATTCTGACTCCGACGAGCTTTATTATTTCGTTGGTCCAAAACTCTCGGGTGTCGCTTGCGCCCGATTCGCGGCTAGTGTAAGAGGAGAAATGGTGTTTGAGGATGTCGAACCAGGTGTCGGGATCGAAGACTTGCTTCTGCTGCGGCTGGTTGTCGTAGTTAGACTCGTCATCTTCTTCTCCCTCGTCGTCCTCTTCGGATCCACTGTGGTATTCAAGCTCCGTCATATCCTTGAAATCAAGGAAGGAGCCCTCATCGAAGAACAGGTTTGGTGTGAACGCTGGGGAAGCTGAAGCGTGGAGGTTCTCCATTTTTGTGCAATGAAATTGGTTTGATTCCCAACTCAACAACTCACTATTTATAGTCGTCGGGCTGCCGAATACTTATCAAGAAGGAGAAGAGGCTAAGGACAAGAAAACAACCATTGCGGCTACAGTGAACTCTGCCGGCCGACGGATTCCCTTTTCTGGGAATGACGACAATCTTTGTGCTACGAGTTACAGCAGATTGCAGACGGGGAGAAATTATTTTTTAATATATTGTAATAATGAGGTGGAAATTATTAAAAATTAATTTTTTTTAATTGCCACGTCACTCATTTAACGGTCAACTATAAGAGTTGACCGCCACATCAGCAAAAGTTAACGGAGACTAACGTCCAGTGACCAACATGAATTATTAACCTAATTTAAGTGACTATGGATGGAATAAAGTAATTTTAGTGGCTAACGTGAACTTTACTAGTAATTCAAGTGACCAAACTTGCAATTTAGGCTAAAAAAACTTACCTTCTCCTTCATTAACATTGCACCCCTGGAGCCTGGAGGGCATATACCCAAATAATACTTTTACCCCTTCCTTGCTCCCCTACAACGGTAGCAAACAAGGATAAAATTATTGGGAACTGCATTTACCCCTCTAGCTTGTACTCCCTTTTGCGCCTCTTCTGAAACAATGTGTAAGACTACCTCCAAGAAGGGCTATGGAGGGAGAACCATGTGACTATAGTATATCGCATTCCACTCGTTAATATGAATATCTTTTGGAAGGAAGAGAAAAATTGATATCCTTTGTTTTCTTAAACAAGTTATTTAATTAAAATCCGACAAATGAAAAATTATGACAAAATTTCTCGTTGAAAGCTCTCATCTAAATTAAATTATCCATGTAGTTGCCTGTTCCTATAAATATGTTATTATGTACTATATCCAAGTTGAAGTTTCCTAAATTAAATTTATAGCAACTCAGGCAATGCCACCAATTTAATTAATTATTGATAATAATTATTAGCTACCACTATTAGTCCTTAATTGTAGACATTCCAAGGCGACATTGACTGACGACAGAATGACAGGGAGCAAGGATGTGACCTATTTTCCTCAGGGAAAAAAATAATAATAAAGCAAGGAAAAGGATGTCTTGTGTTTGTATATACATACTTCATAGTATAGATACCGAAACAACTGGTACCCTTACGTTGGGACATTGTTGACAATTGAGATTGTTTTGACTTTTCGAGTCCTGGTTTCATTCAGTTTAGACGGTTTTCTTAATGATCTTTACGGTTTCATGATGCGGTCTTAATTAATAAGAAATGACTGTACTGCTGCCTCAATTTCCAGGCAATTAAGCATTTAAGCTAATCCTAACCTTCTCGGTTCTCTCCCACACCAACCATCAATTCATCGTATTCTTACTTTCTGCAACATGTCGTTGACCAGACCAAATTTAAGAGTACTGTAGCCACTGGTCTGACCGGTAAACTAACTTACATACACATATGCCACTTGTTTGAATGGAACGCTTCCCGTTGAATCTGAGAGACAAGCCAATGGAACGTGTGAGTCAGCCGTTGAATATCTCTATCGTGTTAGGTGCCCTAGATATTCTATATTGTGTCCCTCCATGTCTGCTTACCTTACCTGTTTTCATAGTACTTCCTCCAATGGATCATTTCAGTTCTCACTAGCTACATTACAACAAGCTAAGGGAGCGTAGAAATTGGCTTATTGACTATTGTCCCTGGGTTCTGCCTTTATGGCGCACGCTCAAGACTCATGAGTATACTCGCAGCAAAGTCACTCCTCAAACGAAAGTTGGACAAACGTAACTTCAACTTTGCAGATGTCAAAATATTGTTGTGTTGATTGAGATCATTGAAATTTGAACATAATACGGCCTCTCGCAGAAAGCTATGACACCATATGTATTTCAATAACTTGGGTTATAAGAAGAGGTGCAATTATGAAGCATATATCACTTGCTAACAGAATTCTCATTCACAAATTTTAAAGCAACACGCCCCATCAAACAGGCGACCTCTCGGTTATAGAAGAAGCTGATACCATGTCAAGAACCAGTTGATTCTAATAACTCAAGTTGTTGAGAGAGGTTCAATAATGGATCTTATACCATATATGTACTAATATGTCCCGGCCCGTCAAACATAAGCCACACATATAGGCTTGAAGAATGCACGGACACCAGACAACATGTACTTACCAATGGGGATTAGCCACGGGATTTGAATCTAAGAAATCTAGGTTGAAACCCAATGGTATGGTATCATAACTCGTTTGTCGTCCTTGAGGTCACGTGTTCAAATTCTCATGACCTTAATATTAATCACTATTTTAAGTAAATGGTATGGCGAGCCTGTGCAAACCATCATGTAAAAAAAATTGATTAAATACCATACAACTCGCAAAGGGTATGCCAAATAAGAAACGCGGAGGGAGGGAAGAACAGCCAGCTGCATGCCCAGAATTGAAAAAACTAAAGACTTCCATTGCTGATCTGTCGCTAAAACACTGTTTGTAAAGCTACATGTGATGTAAGTGTGTATACATATACTGATATACATAATAAACCCTCCATAATTCAGAAGAAAAAAAAACAAATAAACAACAATAAAAGCATCCCAGTACAATTTATGGATGCTAGGAAAGACGCCGGCCGGAAAAACTCTGCCGCATCAATGGCCGGGGCCTCTTTTGCTAGGCCCAGAAGCCAACCTAAACATCAATCCCCGCAACGAAACTGAATAGTCGTCGCCATTGCCGCCGCTAGAATTATTTGAAGAGGCTACGAATGAAGCTATACCGGCACCGGATTCCCCTCCGTCGACTTGGTCGCATCCAGCGATGGGCAAAGCACCCGACCGGAGTGCTCTGCCGGCGTTAACATGATGTGTCGAAAGCGCCGTCACCAGCAGAACCACCACGATGAAGAAGAGGCTGCAGCTACTCGATGTCGATCTCCTTGCCATTGACATTCTTCCTTCTCTCTTTGGGATGGAGAAAGCTTCCTCTTCTGCAATGGGTTTATTTTCTCGTCGCTGAAAGATTTGTTGGTGACTAATGATGTGAAGGTGGTGATGAATGGTTATGATGATGATGGTTTGCTGAAAGGAGGAGCGCTATTATATATAGGGGAAAGGGATTAGTGGGGACGAAGAGAGGGGAAGAGGGCGGTGCGATTGCTGAAGTGGACCCCACTATCCAAGATTTAGATTCGTATTTTGACCGACTCGGCGTTTTTGCTAGCTAATGCAAAAAAAAGTCTAAACGCGCGCTACGTCTCTGCTTTTGCACTTTTTCCACTCACTTTCCGGCCAGGGTTGTTGGATCGGAACGGCGGCAAACATGAAACCGTCCCGTCGGTAAAAGTAGACGACTTATTTAGTTACCAACTCCTGCTTCAGTATTCTATTCTAGCTATTTCATTTGTCATACACGATTGAAAATTTGTCGGCTCAAGTCTCAACTTACTTGAGAGTGGTTTGAATAAGGAATTAAGTGAATTGCAAATGAGCACTATTTTATTATAGTTAAGACTTCCATGTTGAATATTAGTGGTAGTAACACACTACAAGCAAATAGTCATTTTGTGTCGTTTATTTTTCATGTTTTTTTGTAGTTTCATTTAACCGATACCAAACCCGTCAACACTAACCGGATTAGTGTCAAGCTCTTGTAGGTGATAGTGGATAGTTTTAAGGTCCATAATTAAGTTAGTAGTGAAATTCAAATTGAAATTTACAAAGCGCATAAATTTATCCGAATCAACATACCGTCATTCAAAAATCTAGTCTCATATATTCTGATTTGATTCATAATAATCAACCAAGCCAGAAAACGATACTTCGACACAACCCACTTACCCAACAACACATTATACTATCCTCCCTGTGGTCGACAATATCTTTAAGGACTCCTAGACCTGAAACTTAGCACTAACAATTCCATAATCCACATTGACCCAATATGAATATATTAACGTCACCTGTCATATTAGCATCGTAATTATGACCTTCGGGGTGCACCAATTTTGCGGCGGGTGCTATAATGTGACAATAATCGACTACTACAAGACTCTTATGCATGGTTTCCATGCACATTAATTTATGAACTTTGGTTTTTGGAGGTTTTAAAACCAGTCAAATAAGAGGAACTGAATCAATTTGTTAGATTCAACTCCGGCACGTACGATTCAAGTTACTAATAAGTTGAATTTCCTTATTATTTTTTGGTGAACGTGGATGTTTTCACACGTTTGAAATTGCAAAATCAACAAACACCGCCCAACATCGTCGCCGATGTACGGCGGCGAGGCCGGAGTGCCGTCCTCGAAATTAGACGACCACGCGGCGGTTTTGAGTTACGATGATGCGGTAAAAGACAAAGCGTGTGTTTCCACCTGGACAAACGCGGTGGACACAAATGGAAAAAGTCGCATCCCTCAGCCCACGCTGGCCACGTGTCCTTGTTCCCGTGACGATTCTCCACCCTTTCTTGTGACTTGCTTTCCACGACGGTTGGGAAAAACAAAATGACAAAAAAGGTGATAACTAAACTAATGTAAAAGGAAAGTTGGTCCGCTCCTCTTCGGTTTGGAGTTGGGGGAGTTTTGCAGTTCTTTCTCACAAAGCAATAGGTTAATACAGTTAAACTAAATTAATGCAGTTCTTTCTCACAAAGCAATAGGTTAATGCAGTTAAACTAAACAACAAACAGAACTTATACATATATATAATATATATAGATATATAATACAAAGCACAAAATTGAAAATCTTTATTCTCTACCCATGACCCAACGCCAACAGATCCCCAGTCCCTTTCCTAATCCCAACAAATAATAGAATGCCTTAAAACGCAAAATAAGGCTGGGCTGCTGGTCGTGAGGCCGTGCAGCGCCGCAACGACGATTTCGCCGGAGACCTAGAGTGAGGATTGGGGAAAAGGGCGGGCGGAGTGTTTGCGGAGAAGGAATGGATCTTTTCCCTTTAATTTTTTGGCCTCACGAGAAGATGAGAAAGGGCTTTTGGGAATTTGGTTTTGGTTTTAGGTTTTGGATTTAGGAAGAAAAGGCTGAGCCCAAATTAGTGAGGGAGCTGAAATTACAAGCTATATACATTCTATGTCACGGGGAGGGATGGGCCCGGGCCCAGTGTGGCCCTCCCCTGGATCCGCCGCTGATACACAATAAGCTAATTAGAGATAGATGAAGAATGCTGAAATGACAAAAAAGATGCAAGGGAGATGAGGCGCAACTGACAAATGAAACGAAAAGGAAGTCGGGGAAAAATTACTAATTATGGTATACATTGGTTCTTCGTATTTCAATCTACCATTATATTTGTTTTTGTTTATTAAAATACTGGACCAGAGAATCATTTAGATCAGCGGGCTTAAATGATTTGGTCATCGACCGCTAACAACGTATCACGCCCAGCTGACCTTTCAAACATATGAAATGACCCATCATTGCAGTCGGTTGACGGTTCAACATGGCTCGACCAGTTGATCGGCTTGATTCTGATAAATAGTAAGTGGGGTGTACATGATTGATATTGAATTCCAAAATGGTATATGTTAATTTTGTTATTGATTTTCAATAATCCGTTAGTTCCAATTACTCGAGTTATTAGGAGATATATTCAATAACATATCTTATACCATATACTAATGGATGAAAGATTTGTATTGACAAATCACAAGCGAATGTTTTAAGGATGAAGAACCCCGTCCGGCACACTTGGCGGCAGAAAATGTTGAGGCGAAAAAGTTACGTTGAAAATTAGGGCACAAGATCAGCAAAAGGAATTTTAGAACTTGGACGTCGCCGGTATGAAACGGACGTTTTCTATTCTTGCCGAGGAATATAGGAAAGCTGGAAAGGGAGGAAGAAAGCGATTCTTTTCTTCCCCGCCGATGGAACGATTTGATTTGCGCGCTTGCATGGGAAATAGCCTTTTGGCTTTGGGGATGACTTATTGAGCATCGATGGCTAGCTTAGCTTGTCACAAAAATAGTTATAATCACCGCTATAGCTTTTTGTCAAATAAAGGGCAATGCAATAGCTATTTGTCAAAAGGTATAATCAACTAGGATGCTCCTCTATCTATCAAGTTTTTGGACTAAATAACATTTGATCAAATGTTGGGGCTAATTAATTCAGTGTGGCGCCCCACCAAGCAATTAAGCTGCTCACGTAAAATTGATTCCACGCCAGCGTCACCAACTCTTGACCATGACCAATTGACCATGCTAGTTGGTCGTTGATTCCTTTTGGGCAATTTCACATAATTTAGGAGATATAGATGCATCAATATTATACCACTTTCATGTTTCTCAAAGTGAAAGTAAAATCGTGGACTTGAATATTGCATATATTCGGCGTGCTTAAATGAATTGTTAATATTGAGAGTCCACTTCAACACGTAACCTCACGGTTATACCAGCTCTGATACCATGTCATAAATCAACTGTTAAAATTGATCAAACTTATTTTAAACTATTGATTAAGGAAATAAAAAATAAAAACATAAGTAGAAAACAACCATGGCAAAAGGAGTTGCCGGTCACACCTTCACAATTTAACATTTCTTTGTTTTTTTCTTTCCTTTTTTATATTTAGTTGTTTTTCTTATTTTAAACTTTCCTTATTTTAATTATTATTGAATTAGAAGTGTAACGTAAAACTTACATAATTACTTAGCTCTTTACGTAATGTGACATTAATACTCATTACGTAATGAGATCTTTCATTATGTAAGGCTTCCGTAATTGCATATTACAACTGTTACGTAAAATACACATTCATTATGTAAAGGTTATGAAACAATAGTTATTTCTTACGTAACAGTTAAATCGAAAGTATTACGTAAGGATTTCGTAATGACTTAGCACTTTACGTAACGCGAGGTTAATTAATACTCATTACGTAAAAATACCTTCCATTACGTAAAGGTTACATAACGACAGTTATTTCTTACGTAACAATTAAATCAGTAGCGTTACGTAAGGCTTCCGTAATGACTTAGCATTTTACGTAACTCGAGGTTAATACTCATTACGTAAAGACACATTCTATTACGTAAGGCTTCCGTAATGATCTTTCAAAACTGTTACGTAAGATTACGATATGTTACGTAACCATTACGTAATGCCTATTTGGTATTTTAGGTAATGTGACCTGTGAAATCTGCTATAGCAGGTAGAAAAAATTCAAGTTACCTTACTTCAAGTTACGGTAGGAAATCCCTTGATCTTATACCGTTTGCTTAAAATCGTTGACCTGCATTACCTCCAAACTAAACAAAATGAATAACATATAGAATATTAATACTTAAAATATGAGTTATTAGCATAAATGGTCATATATGTTTGATCTTTGCACAAAACATTCACAAATAATTGGTTTTAAAGGATTAGGCGACACAAATTATGAAGTCAACGAACCAAATCAACCCACACCCGGTGATATGAGAAATCGGAGGATTTGGAGGCGGTGGTTGATGAGAAGCAGGCGTCTGATTGACGAACGAAATGGAAGCGTAAAATTTGAAGAGAAAAAAAGGAATATCAAGCAGCTAAAAAATAATCAAAATTGGCCCTTATGCATGATATCATGTTAGATTTCTATAACTGGAACATTGTATTCGTACACAGAGCTTGAGAAGATGCAAAGATAATGGAGAAAAATCGTCTAATGTACAGGGAAGCACCGTAAGTCCGTAATCTACTTATATTTTATACAACTCAACTACCTAAAACTAGGGCTGTCAACCGGTCGGTTTCGGTTTAACCGAAAACCGAATTCTCGGTTTTCGGTTAAATCGAGACCTGATCAATCACCACAGGCCACCGACCGACCCTGGCGCCTCGGTTAACTGTAAATCGACCGGGCGGTTTCAGTTAAGCCACGGTTAAACCGGCAACACCGAAAAAGGGAAGGGCGGTTCGGTCTGCTACCCTAACCGACTGAAAAC